TCCTATTTATAGCTAAGAATCGTGTACAGTAACAAGTATTTGACACCATTTCCCCCTTTCAATCAAAGTCGATTTCTTTAAAGAATAAAATAAAAGTTTCTTCTTTGATTCGATGAGTTCCCAATTATTTTTTTCCCCGCGACGTATCGGACGGCGATAAATTGGTTTCGCCGCCGTTGATAGATTGCCACGTTCGAGAGTTTTTTGTCACGTGTAAGATACAGTTTTTCGTATGTTTTGGATAAAAAATTTTTTTGTTGCGGGATGATTGGTGTCCACGTACGCACTTTTTGACGTTTCTCACGCGCCTCGCCCATAGACCATCAACGGCAAACATATCTTTGCCTTCACGTTTACAAATATCTTTTTAATTTTAAAAAATATTAATTTTATAAGTATATTGTTGGCTAATTTTCGAATAATGTAGTGAGAAAAAATAATGGCTTCTCATGCGACTTTATCTTATGCATGGACAGTAATGCGACATTGACGGCTAGGGTTTGGACGCAGGGAGAGCAATGCGTCTCCGGGGAACATTGTAGTATTCATCCCATTCGAAGAAATAATCTCTTCACAGAATTAAGTTAGCCATTGTTTTTTTCTCACAATGGGATTACAACGATTGTTAACTCTTTTAGTTTTAATGGAGAATCATAGTCAATTAGATTTTTTATAGAATAACAATAAAATAATTTGATTAAAGATGACGACGAACAATCCTCGAGAGAAAATAAAAAGAGCCTGATATAGAGAGATAAAGAGGGAGCCCAATGGAGAAAAATTGTCTCCTTTTTTTAGCATTGCTCGGGATTCATATACAAACACTTAGTGTTGGTGTTATACCTAAGTCATGTGGTTGTTTGTAGGCTAATATGATGAATAGACCTAACTGTCAAATGGTGGATTTGACTTTAACAAATTACGTGAGATACTTAGTAGTAATGTTAAAGGTCATAGTTACTCGGAGGATATGGAATTTGAAGGTTTCAAAGAACTTTGGAAGAGGAGGTGCTAAGGTGCAACCTACTCAGACTTACCCTCAAAAGATGTTTAAATCGAGTGAAGTTGCTTCAACACCATATATATTCAATGAGGATTGTCGGTGCTCTCGAAGGAGTAATGGAAAGCAACAACATCTCAACGCTTTGTAGGGGCTAAAGATAAATTACTTATAGCCGCAGCAGAGACATCTCAACTGTTTTTAATCAGTAAAGATATTGTATATAATATTTTTAGATAGGGTAGAATGGAGGTTCTCTATGCTCTAGGTAATATAGGAGATAACACGCTCAATTTTACTTGATTTCAAGTCGAGTTTCATTTTTTTTATTACGAGTCGAGCTTAAAATCTTAAGCTCGAGTTTTTGAGTTGAGTTAAACTCAACACTAATCGAATTCAACTCAACTCTAGTCGAATTCAACTCAACCATTTAATAATTTTACAATATTCATATATGTACATACTCTCAAAACATTTCTAAATTTTGTAGCTGCAATTAGTGTTGATAAACGAAGAGGATGATGAATCCACGTCAGAAATGAATGTGAAGGACCCATGATTTGGATAGTATGGGGGACAATGACGTTCATTGGGAAAAAGAGGCAGCAGACAGATCTATGTAAACCAGATAAGATCTTCCAAGCAGCCCGATCTATGTAAACCAGAAATCTTCCAATCATTTGAGATTTTTAATCCTTCACCATGTGCATGCATGCACGTGATATCATTAATTATTTCCAAGCTTATATCATAATATAAGAAAATCACTTACCAAAAAAAACAATATAAGAAATCATATTCATCCCCAATTATTGCATTCAATCATTCGTCTGTCGTCCATGATGAAGTGCCCAACAATAACAAATTGGTAGAAAAAAATAATAAAATCGATAGTATTTTCGGATTTATTACCAAGTTTGTAAAACGCCTAATATAACAAAACTGGTAGAAATAATAACGTTTCTGATATTTTTACCGATTTTTTTTAATAACAAAATTGATAACATTTTTTAGTCATATATAAGGTTACTGCACGTGATCATTTCCTTGCTCAGTGTTCTTTTTTAATATATAATCACTTCTCAGAGGAAGATGAAAAGGCATTATCTAGAGATGGGTATGGGCTAGGCGGAATTTTAATTGATTTGAATATTATATTTCTCTAATGTTATTTTTTGAATTTAGAAGAATTTATCCGATTTGATTTTTAAGGCAAATTTTATATTTGATATAATTTACATATATATAATTCTCATTTTCATTAGTAAAATATAATCTAATGAAAAAAGAAAGGACAGAGATATGTATTATTAGATTATTCTTAGATATATAAAGATACTTAATCATTATTTTGGGTCGTTTCGAAGCTTTTTTATCATAAGTTGAACCCATCTGACTCGATCCTATTTTTTCTTTTTAAAACCCAATCTGATTCGAGTCATATCCCATCCATAACAATGTCCAAACCGATGAAAATTGTTTTGATATTTTTTTATTAATCTAGGTTGATTATAAAGTACTATATGTAAAAATTCTTAATCATCTGACAATGAAAATCAAACACTCTTGCAATCTCTAGTGTTTGACATAGGATCTCTAGGGATAACGACAATTCTTTTAACCAATGAGGTAACTTGATTCGTGTGAAAATATTTTGACATTTTTAACAAGGACAAATTAATGGTTTAATTCACAATTTATCCTTTAAGTATATCTATTTTTTCACTCTGCAACCTAAATATTTTATCATTTTAACCTTAAAATATATTCGTTTTCTTATTTTTAATTTGGAAAAAAATTAGACTAGTCAACTTGTGTCATACGTCATTTAAGTTTTAATTTATTTTTAGTTGTCATAATCAATGACATTTCAACAACATTTTACCCAAATCCAATGCCACGTCCCACGATAGTTGAAGTTGTCTTAATCTAGGGTTTACATAGTTGAATTATCATTATTTGATTAGTTTAGAGTGATTATAATATATTAATTAAAATTTCTTAATTGTTTGATAATAAATACTCAATATTTATGTAGGGTCGTACTCGAATTCAGAACTTCTAAGAATAAAAATCATCCATTTAACATTGAGATAATTTGATTCGTGCTACATAATCTATTAAGAGTTATTATTTAGGCTATTTATATTAATATATTTGTTTATGATCGTAATCGAAGTTAAGGTTATTTATGTAGGGTCGTACTCGAATTCAGAACTTCTAAGAATAAAAATCATCATTTAACCATTGAGATAATTTGATTCGTGCTACATCATATTAAGAGTTATTATTTAAGGCTATTTATATTAATATATAATTGTTTATGATCGTAATCGAATAGTTAAGGTTAAACAATTTTTATTAACTGAGTCGTTAAAAGCAACACTTAAAAATTATAAATTTTGACAAATGGTTAATCATCGGTTAACCGTTAATAAATTATAATTACATTTTATATGTTTGTTAGAGGATTCTTTTCGAAACTTTGATGGTGTATTGGACTATTGCTAATTGTCATGTTCTGAACTTCATAGTATTATTAATGACGATATAATTTGTAGTTTAACTTTGTAGTGTGAATTATGAAAATTTAAAACTTATGTTGTGTTGTCTGTTTTAAAAAAATTGTAATAGGTTACAAGTTCACCTATAATCGAACTGTTAATAATGATTAATAGTTTGTGATTAATCTTTTTTAACTATTAGGTTATAATTAACAACATTTATTAACTGCTATGACAGTTAACTGACCAATTAAATTAAACAATATAGTTAATTGATCGTAAACAACCCTATTATTAGTACGGTTGTTTAACCCTAAACCTTAAATTATATGTTGTTTAACGTTGATTATAAACACTAAATCTCAAATCATTTATTGTTTAAGCCTCGATGATGATTTTATTATATACAAATTATATTATTCGTGATTGAACTTAAACTTTAAATCCTAAACATTGAATCATTTATTATTTAATCATAATTTTAAATCCTAAATCTCGAACCTTTTAACATTTAACTTTAAGCTTTAAACTCTAAACCTTAAATGTTTTCTTTTAATATTTTTATCATTTAAATCATTTTGTTTAAAAAAATAATAGTTTGACAAATATTATTTTCACCGACTTATTTCGCTATTTTTAAAAGAAAAAAAAAATCAAAACTTAACATTCCACGCCATATCATACATCGAAAATGAGATTCTTATTTATTTTTATCATCCATGATATGTGGCCATTTCTAATGTGGGAAAGATTTTAAAAAGTATTTAACATTTTTATTTCTTAATGACTGAGAGATTAAAGTCTAATTATAGTATAAAGATTTGACATCTATACCGACTAAAAAGTATTGATAATTGACCTAGAACATTAATATATTTAATATAAATCAATATATTTAAAATTTATTCTATACCAACTATATGGGCAAAACTCAGGAGATAATGTTATCGAAAGAATTATTTCACGAGATAATACTTTGGCTGGATTAATTGCTAATATAGGATGAATTCTACAGTCTCCATGCAAACTGTCACCACAGCTCGCGGGGACGGCATGGCGACCTCTTTGATCACCCAGAGCGCCTGGCGACCTGTATACACTGTAGAGATCACCCTATCTCAACAATTAATCTGGCGAGAGCATTATTTCAAGAGAAAAAAATTTGAGAGCATTATCTCGTGAATTTTGCCAACTATATGTACAAGTTCATTTTCAATAGGGCCTGAATAATAATGATTAAGAAAACGGCCCATATCTCCCGCCGCCTATACTAAAAGGAACTGTTTGATTCAGCCCAAAATCACAAAAATCAAATCAAAGCGGATCAACTTCATCATCTTTGATGCTCCATCACTCCACACTATCACTGCTCCACTCACAGTTTAACTAATTTTGGACCAAAATGGAAAAAAGAAGAAGAAATTATCCCCCAATTGTGATTTTTTTTTTATAAAAAAACTAAGCATTTCCTTGTTTAAAGAAGCTAAGGGGTTTCCTTTACCATCTCCTCTAATCCTGAGATCCTTTCTATCCTTTTTTAAAAAAAAAATAATAATCTTTGTTTATCTCCTTCGATTCGTCTGCTCTGCTCATGGATTTGCGAGATTCATCATCTTCATCGCCTCCGAATCGAGATGGTTCCACCGCCGGAGACGACGACGCCGTCCTCTCCGTCACCTCCGCCCTCGCTAAAGACGCATCCATTTACTTTCAGTCTAGGAAGTTCACCGAGTGCGTCGATGTCTTGAATCACCTCAAGTCGAAGAAAGAAAACGATCCCAAGGTAAATTGTTTCAATTTCTTTTCACGCGTATGCATGCATTGGTTCCTTTCATTACTGCGATTGAATCGATTTATAACTTAGATCCTTTTTTTTTTTTTGCTTTTTTATAGTGAGAATTTGAATATTGTTTTCTATCTTTTTGTTGTGTAATTTTCTGGCATCAGCTGATTTCTTAAAACAATGAACTTAATCCAATATTGGTTTTCCTTATTTATATTTTTAATGATTATCATTCTGGCGAATTTTTGAAACCCTGTGACTAGGTTTAATTATTTTCATATTGAGATTTCATTATATATGTTAACTTAATAATTCAAGTTGTTGATTTCTTTATTCATACTTAGACAGGCAAGAGTTTACCAATAAAATGGTTTGTGGGATAGTTGAACTCCTCTATCAATGAATAGGATAACCATCTTCTTCGTAATCAGCACAAGTCAAATGTATATAGTTCATTGTAGAGTTTTTAGCTTTACATGTGGTGTATCCTGTAATATTCCATTTCTTGGTAATGATACATTTCGATTCTTTTATGCTACTGAACTACCAACAAGTTTATTCCGTTACAATGTCCTCTTAGCCTCTGGATAAAGAAAGTAGGACGGATGAATTATGGATTTATTTTCATGGAAGCACATATTCTATTTATCTACTGTTCCTTTAGAGCTGATTGATTTAGACTAGAGGATACTCATCAAAGATGGAATTTGTAGTTGCTTGAAATTGCTGTCACGGTTGTCTTGTTACTAATAAGATAGGATGGAGAATATACAGAGTACACATGTTTTTTTGAAATGATATTTAGATATAGGATCTCTCTTTTGGAAAGGAAATGGTGGAAATTTTATTTTTCGAGCAAATTTATCCATGTGTTTTAGTTAATACTAGCATGATATATAAATGTTTGTTTAGTGCCCAATAAATTCTAACACTGAGCAATGTTTTTAAGGCGTGTGCTTCTGGGTTGCTCCTCAAAGCCAGACCAGGGAATTAACCCTTTAGAGCGAGGCTTATTTCTGGTGCATTTAAGTACATTCTTTTGTGAGGAAGCAGTGTAAAAAAAATATGGCTGAAATTCACTTTACTTTTCTCTCAACTTTTCTTTTTAAAAAGGCAATTTTGCTTGTAACAGTTGAAAAAAGGTGGACAAATCAAATTCTGTACTTCTCAAGGCACGAGTATTCAGAAAACAAAACATAAGACCTTTATAAAATCACGTATATTGTCCAACAAAAAATATTTTTGTTCTTTGTAGAATATATGAAACCAGATTTATTTTTTAAAATTAGAATTATATATATTGAAGCTTATGTATGTATGTATGTATGTATGTATGCAAGCACAAAACTAGACAGATAACACACATAAGTTGTGCCTCGCTTCATTTAGGTGAGTGCTTTCTTGCACCTTGTGCCTTAGGGTTCTAGTTCCTAGTGCGCATCTTGTGATACTAAATGATACTAAACACATATTTTTTATCCAAAAAAAAAAGGATACTAAACACATAAGGTCTGGAGAAGTTGTATTTCCCTAAACTTTTATCTAGTTGCAGAGCACAGTGCTGTTATTGACCTTGTAAATTATTGAAAATTGTAAGTATCTAATATATACTATCTATGTTTTATTACTCATATTGGGTTTAAAGTTAAGAAAGTGTTGAAAATGTTAACTTGGAACTAATTTTGTTGAGTGTTGATTAATATTAAATCAAGGCTCCTTGCCTAACTATATTAATTAAAATTCTATATTTTTAATGTATAAATAAATAATTTGTAAAATGGAATTTTTTAAGTTTTAGAATTATCATGAAACTATTTTTTCATTTTAGGCTGTTTCGAAGATACATCTGATTCTCCAAGCCAAAAAACGTCTTAATTCAAAAACTAAAGCGGCTAAAAAGAATGGATAAGAGTATCAAACACATGTGCCAAGGCTTGTTAACTTATGATTATAAGATGTGATGACTGTAAGAGATAAAATGATGATCATACTGCTTACAAACTTTATTCATTGCACTTACTAAACAACATCAATATGTTCAGCATGGAAACAATTTGTTCCCAAATTGTGTCATCATAAATAAGTTCAGCTGCTGTAGGAACTTTTAGCTTGAACGCTCCACTGCCACCATATAATTATTATTATAATATTGTTATTATGAATTTAATTTTGACAAAAAATAGACTTAAAACAACCTTTGGTAGCTGAGAAGTTCAAATAGATTTTAGTTTTGTGAGACTGACTGTGATGGTGGTGCTGTTTCAATTAAATGCTGTTTATAAATTGTTCTTGTTGGACTGGTAATCTGGTTTAGCCTTTCTAAGCAGCATGTTTTTAAAAATGAGTGAGAGAGAGAAAAACGTAGAGAGAGAGAATTTGAAAGGAAAGTCAGTTCCGGTTGAGTGTTGGTCGGTGTTTATCGATAATCTTAGTAAAAGGGTCTCCCATCGTACGCTTAGGGAATTATTCTTAGTTCATGGTCCTGTTACGAGAGTTTTTATTCCCAGCCAAACTAGAAATCCAAAATACAGGTTCTCTACTTTTGCCTTTGTTCATTTTAAGAGGGAGGAGGATCTGAAGAGGGCTGTTGAGGAGTTAAATGGGATTGTGATTGATGGAAGGAAGATCTCAGTTAGTCCTGCCAGGTTTAAGGATGAACGTTCAAGGTCAAGGGTGTTGCTTTCTTCTTCAAACAAAGATGATGGTCAGATTAGTGCAGATTCTTTAAAATCAAGAGATAGAGATAATATTAATAGAAGTAGGAGGGATGATAGATCTTACAGGGATGCTCTGTTGTCTAAAGGGAATAGAAGGGGGAACAATGATCTGCTGTCTGAGGATACCCAGAGGAGGAATGTCAAGGGAAATATATTTGAGATGCATATCCCAACAGACAGCGCCAACTGGGTGAAGAGGTCGTTAACAGGGATTATCAAATACTCCTTTCAAGTGGAGTTCATTCGGACGGCATTATTAAAAGAAGGTCACGATGTTCAAATTGCGAATGGGGCTATGTCTGGAATTCTTGTGTGATAGTTCTCAAATCTCATGAGGAGATGCTGGAGTTATGGAGTAAGAAGGAAGAAGTTTTAAACAGTGGTTCGAGCGAGTGGAACCTCTACTGAATGAAGCTGGGAAACCAATGGCCTTCTGCATGGCGGAATTAAAAGGTGTTCCTTTGTTGTGTTGGAATGAACCCTTCTTCGAGAAGTTGGCTGGCAGATGGGGCAGTGTGGTAGATACCATGATAGTACAAGGAAAAGAGAAGATCTCACAATGGCAAGAATCCTATTGAAGGTGGAAAGTCCTTTTGATGTTCCAGAAGTTATACTCTTGGATCGTATGGAAGATCATACAAAGTAAGTATCAAGATTGGATCAGCTAGTGAATATTCTAGTTCGTTTTTCAGTAATTTTCCGGTGGAGGATTCCGGCGAGATATTTTCGGAAGAGAGGATGTCTGAGAAGGATGAAGACAGATTGTTGTCAGTTCATGGGGAAGGTGAGACATGCGCAGCAGGGGAAAATCGTTTGTCAGTGGACAATTGGATTGACCAGGGAGTGTTTCATGTTTCTGGAGGAGCTAGTGAGGACAGACAGCTAGCAAGACTTTCCTTAGATAGGAAAGATATTAAATGTGGTCTGTCAGAAAGTCAGACTGTTGGAAAGTTTAAAGTTGGTGAGTATGCAGGTTTGGGGATTAGAAGTCAAAATTATTCGGCTGATGGATCTCAGGCCCATTCTGAAGAATCTGGGCAGTCTGGGTCAAAATACTTTTCGGGTTTATTTCTGGGCCAGCATATACAATTAATAAGTTTGGGGAATTTATTGAAAACATCCATTTATCAGGAAAATGCAGGGGAGTGTCCAAGGTTATGGAATCGAGTCCAATTGTAGAGAAGCCATTCAGTGTGGAGATAGACCCCGAAGAAGAAAACTTAAGACCATCGGAACAGGTTTTAAATAACAACTCTAGGGGGAGGCAGTTAATTCGCTCTAGAAGGGAGTTTACAAAGAGAGTAATGTGCTGGAAACTAGAAGTCTGAGCAATTGTAAAAGGGTTTACAACAGGTCGAGGGAAAGAAGATACTGGTATGGGGATTTGTTGAACATCTCGTCTGAAACAGGGGGTGCCGTAGTTAAGCAGAGGGAGCTAGATGTTGATTCCAGTACGAATATTCAGCTCTGTTTATCAGCAGAGAACATTGCTGAGGGGAGTCTTGATCCTTATCTTGACAAAGGATATGGGGGTGGGAGTGTAGGAAGGGAGATTGAAGGTTACTTTTCAGAAGGTGATGGCTTAAAGTCCAAATCTGGTTTGCTGATTAGAAGGAAGAGAAGAACTAAAAGGATCCTGTATCGTGAAGCCCTTGACAAGGTGAGCATTGATACAGCATCCTCCTCAGCTTTTTCGATTCTGTGAAAGAAGCGATGGAAACTTGGGAGGTTAGCAAGCTTTTGGGTGTGTCTTTTAAGGAAGGGAAAGAAGCCTTTTTGGAAAAATCATAGCTTTAGAGAAAGGCGTAAATGGGGTGAATAAAGGATTGGTTGTTTGAGGAGTGTGTCTGCACCTATTTCCTTTTTGATGATGACAAAGCTAGTAATATGTTCATGGAATGTTAGGGGTTTGGGGAAAAACGAGAAAAGGAGGGCTGTTCAGAATTTAGTCTCCAACTTTAATCCTACTTTTCTTTGGCTGCAAGAAACTAAGACTGAGAAATTTAGGAAGTCTTTTTTTAGGAGAAGTGGAATTAATAAACTTAAAGGAATTTTGGAATCCCCTTCAGTTGGATCACGGGGGGGCTGTTGTGTTGTTGGGATGATAATGTTTTTGAGCTGGAGAATCAGTTTGTTAGCAGGGAGATTCATTGCTACTTTCGGTAAAATTCGGAGTATTGATTCCGGGTGTGGTTTCATCAATGTCTACGGTCCATCAGTGGAGGAGGAGAAATCTGGTTTTTTTGAAGAGTTAAGCAGTTTTCTTAGTGGACAGACTTATCCCATTTGTGTCGGAGGGGATTTCAATGTATATTTACAAGAAGATGAGAAATTGGGAAGGGGTCAAAGTAGGAGTTCAATGGAGATCTTTAATGAGTTCATTCTCCATACGGGTTTGATTGATCTTCCTTTGAACGGGGGTAGGTTCACTTGGTGTAATAACCAAGATAATCCACTTTTGTTAGACTGGATCGTTTTTTGGTTGATTGTCGTTTCCTAGAGCTGTTTCCGGGCGTTGTGCAGTCGCTTCTACCAAGATCCTTGTCAGATCATAATGCTATAGTTCTGGAGAATAAAGGGGTGGACTGGGGTAGAAAACCCTTTAGATTATTCAATTATTTGATGGATGAGGGGGTTTTGAGGATCTGGTTGTTTCTTCTTTTCAGAGTGGTAAGGATAGTCGGAATGAGGCAGGCGTTTTTAGTCTGATGAGGAACACCAAACATGCAATTAAGAAGTGGTCTGGGAACAGAGTGAAGTATCCAGGTGCTTTGATTTCTGAGTTAGAGAAGAAAATTTCGTTGATAGAGGATGATATTCAACAGAAGCAAGGAACGGTTGACAGTGAGGTATTAGTTGAATTGAAGAATCTAAGAGCAGAATTGTGGAAGCTTCACAAGATTCAGGAGCAGATCTGGTTTCAGTACTCGAGAACTAATTGGATTGTTGATGGGGATCGCAATACTAAATACTTCCACACTTGTGCTACGATTAGGAATAAAAGGAATGCTCTACTTGGTTTAAACTTCGAAGGGGAAACAGTGGAAGACCCAACGGCAATCAAGGCCATAGTTAAAGAGTATTTTTTTAAGATCTATAATGAACGAACTACTTTAGAGATTGATGATTTGAATCTGGATTTTCCCAGAATTTTTATGGAGCAGAAACAGTTCTTAGAACAGGAGTTTTCTGAGGAGGAAGTGTGGGAAGTGGTGAAATCTTGTGGCAGCAACAAAGCTCCGGGTCCTGATGGCTTTAATTTGGGATTTTTTAAGAGGTTTTGGCAGGTCCTAAAGGTAGATATTATGAAATTCTTTCATGATTTTTACTTGGGGAAGGAATGGGAACATGGTGTAAATCACACTTTCATCACTCTTATTCCTAAGATTTCTAACATTGGTGGACTGGACGATTTTAGACCTATAAGCCTTGTTGGTGGATTGTATAAGATACTCTCGAATGTCTTTCAAGAAGACTTAGGAGCTGCATTTCAGATTTGATCAGTCCAAGTCAATTCGCTTTTATCCCGGTCGGCAAATCCTGGACTGTTCTCTTATAGCAAATGAAGGGATTGACTTTTGGAGAAGAATGGTTTAAAAGGGTGTGTTTTTAAGGCTGATTCAAGAAGGCATATGATACTCTTGACTGGCCTATTTTGTTCAGAATAATGAAGGAAATGGGCTTTGGTTCTAGATGGATAGGTTGGATTTCGAGATGTGTCACTTCAGCGACTGTTTCAGTTTTGGTGAACGGAGTTCCAACTGAGGAAATTCCTATGGCGAGGGGTCTTCGGCAGGGCTGTTCCTTGTCTCCATTGTTGTTCAACATAGTTGGGGAGCTATTGAATCTATTAATAGCGAAGGCTGTTTCACGAGGGCTTTTTTCGGGACTGGTCATTAGAAAAGAGGAGAGGAATTTTAATTTAACCCCATTTGCAATTTGCTGACGACCTTATTATGTTCTGTGGGGCGTCGGAAAAACAGATCTTGAATGTAAAGAGGGTTCTTCGGGTGTTTGAGATTATTTCTGGTCTACAGCTGAATTTAAAGAAGTGTAAATTATTTGGAGTGAACTTAAAGGAAGAGGAAATTAAGGGTTGGGCATCTATGATTGGATGTTCAGTGGGCTCTTTTCCCTCAGAATATTTGGGACTCCCACTAGGTCCACATAGGAACTCCAACATTCTATGGGATCCAGTGGTTCAAAGCTTTAATAAGAGACTGGCGGGCTGGAAAGGCTCCTCTCTGTCACTGGCAGGCAGGCTAGTTCTAATTAAATCAGTTCTATGCTCACTCCCTATTTACTTTTTGTCATTGTTCAAGGTTCCAGCATCAGTTTACAAGACTCTCAATTCTATCATGTCAAATTTTTTGTGGGGAGGTGGTGATGGGAGAAGAGGATACATTGGGTAAGCTGGTCCGATGTTTGTAAACCTAAAATTGAAGGAGGATTGGGGGTTCCTAATTTAAAGGTGGTGAATAGGGCACTTTTGGAAAAATGGGCTTGGAGGTTTGCTATTGAGAGGGATGCGGTTTGGAGGGAAATGCTCTGCAACAAATATAAATTGGATCCTTCCTTGATGCAGTTTGACAGTAAAGTCTCTCCTAAACTATCCTGGATGTGGAGAGATATGGTGAGAAACCATTATAATGCTGATTCGTTGGGCTGTAGTATCAGAGGTAAATATAGCTTTAAAATTGGCAATGGGAGGAGCATTCGGTTTTGGCAAGACAATTGGACAATGGATCATCCGTTGATGGTATTGTTCCCTAGAATATTTTCTATTGCAGTCAATAAAGAAGGAAGATTAACTCAGTTTGGGGAGTTCAGTTCAAGGGGTTGGATTTGGGACGTCAATTGAGGAGAGAGTTGAATGACTGGGAATTTGAGCAATGGGCAAATTTGATGGTTGTTATCTCTGATTTCTCTATTTCTGCTGATGCCACTGATGGATTGTTTTGGAAGGGAATGGGGAAGGGGTTTACACAGTGAAATCATGTGTCAACCTATCTTATTCGGGTTCTCCCGATTCAGAGGAAGCTAAATTTTGGAAGTCTAATGTTTGGAGGGGTCTGTTGCCTCCAAGAGTTGAGACTTTTCTTTGGCAAGTTATATTAAAGAAGTTGGCGGTCAAGACAGCTTTGGTTAAGAGAGGTGTTAAGGGCATTAATGATACTTTGTGTTCTTTCTGTAATCTTGAAGAAGAGTCTTTATCGCATTTATTTTTTTCATGTTCGTTTGTTTGGCCAATTTGGATGAAATTCTTGGGATATTGGAATTTTCAATCGGTTTTTCATACAGAAGCTAAAAGATTCCTATTGGCTTGGAATGACTTGAAGTCCAACTCTCTTATCTGGCCATTCATTCCTGGCTGTGCTATGGACAATTTGGAAGACCAGGAATTTTATTGTGTTTGAAGGAGGGAAGCTTGATCGAGCAGAGATTTTCTTTCTTGCTAGGTGCAGGCTTGCTTCATGGTTTCTAGCTAAGGAAACTCATGTTTCTATTTCCAAGGATGATATTATTGCTGACCCCCATAGTGGATTCCTACTCATCCCATTCTTATCGGGTTTCAACCGTGTTTCCTTGGTCCCCACCTCCAAAAGGTTTTGTTAAACTTAATGTGGATGCGGCTACCTCGAGTGATTGGAAGAGGAGTGGCTTAGGTGGTATTTTGAAAGACATGTCTAGTTCGATTCTTGGTTCCTTCAAAGAGCCGGCTGGTCCGGGGCCCCCAACGTTAATGGAATTGAAGGCTATCCTAAAGGGTTTAGATTTTTTTGAATCTATTCGTCATAGGGTTAAAGATAGATTGATTATTGAGAGTGATAGCCAGGTGGCAGTTGGCTGGATTAAGGATGTGGTCTCTTGTCCTGTTGTTTATGTTCAAACAGTTAAAGAAATTATTCAAAAGCTTAGTGTTTTTGAAGGTTTTATTAGGTGGGTTAGTAGGACAGCCAATATTGAGGCGGATGTCCTAGCTAAGGCGGGTATTGGGTGAATTATGCTCTGTTAAGGGCTGTTTGTTTTTGGTTTTATCTCTCTTGAGGGAGATGGGTTGTATACTTTGTTATATTTGAATTTATTGAATCCTATGGCACTCCTTTCCTCCTTATGTGGATTAAGGAACTATTTTAAGTTCCGTTAACCACCAAGGGGGTTTTTTGAGGCCTTTTATTCCTATCAAAAAAAAATAAATTGTTCTTGTTATGTTCTGAATTTTGATTACTTGATTAATCTTATAACCCTGTTTGCAGGTGTTGTATTCCATTGCTGCATTATAATTGTTGCCCTCGAATTGAAATTGGGCTACTAATGATAGCTTCGCTTCAATACTTTTGACATCTGTTATAAGTTGTTCCTTTCTGTTTGCACAGTCTTAAGTTTTGGAACCAAATGATTATTGGCAGGTTCTTCATAATATTGCAATTGCGGAGTTTTTTCGGGATGGTTGCTCAGACCCAAATAAGTTGCTTGAATTCCTTAACAATGTCAAGGTACTACCTTTTTCTTACCTCCCTCCAGTTATGTGGCTGATTAGCTGTGCTCTCCATTCTAATGTCTCATTAATCTAGTCATGCTCCTGGAAGAACGATAGTTGTGGCCTGTTCATGATTTCATAACTGTGGTTTTGTTTGCTTGCCTCCATTTGGGGAATGGATTGTGGGTGGTGAACTGTGTTGCAGATACTGCAAGGCCTTAACCGAATAAGAAAAGGCAAACATATTATCTTTTAATACTCAAATGAAATCTTTTGGGTGAAGCATCTTCCTTAAGTTAAAACAGAGTTATTTGTCTGTTGTTTTTAATTGCAATATACTGATGTCAACATGTTAGGCATTTAGCAATTTGAATTATGATTAGCTTGTATGAAACCACTGCTAGTTGGTATTTAGTCTAGGGATTTCTTAGTGGTAGAAATGGTTTATGTATCTGGCCCCGATTAATGGACATGAGACATTTTGAGCCTGAGTTTGTGTGGTTATTTGTATTGCACTCTAATAGAAGTGATGGATTAATTACTTTCTCCCTGTTTTTCTCAAACAAGTAAATCATAATTTTGGGTAGGGGTTGATTACTGTTTGGAGAGAAATTTTTGTTGCATTGCTATGTACATGACTTATTTTTATTTACACCAGAATTAATGGTTTTTGTGTTGGCTCAGAAGGGAAGTGAGGAGCTTGCTCTTGCTTCTGGGGAACAGGTGGAGTCTGGTAGCAGTTTCGGAAATAAAGTTACTTCAGGTTCAAAAGGAAGTGGTGGTACAAATAGTGCCAGTATTATTTACAGAGATGAATTTGATACGTCTGTGGCTTCTCTAAACATGGTATGCCCTCTTTTTGTACATTCAAGAGTTTCAGGGGCAGTAATCTTTTCATCGATCACTTGGACTAGCATTTAACACTTTTGGTCTGATTTGATCTAATGTAGGCAATCATTTGGTTCCACCTTCATGAATATGCAAAGGCCTTATCAATTCTTGAACCTCTTTACCAAAACATTGAACCGATAGATGAGGTATTTTGTCTTTATATTGTTTTTATTTTTTTAACATCTGTTCATCTCTTAACTTGTTTTATTTTCTTCCCTTTTTATTTATATATGCATTACAGACAACAGCTCTTCATATCTGCCACTTGTTGCTGGATGTTGTGCTGGCTTGCCATGATGCTTCAAAATCTGCTGTAAGTTCTAAATATTTGTATATTTGTAGTGTGATACTTTGAATTTTTTCCAGTTAAAAATATTCATATCTACCACTTCTTGCTAGATGTTGTGCTAGCTAGCATATGTAGCCTTGTACTTGGTGGTCGGGGAAAGATAAAAAGCTAACTTATGCTCTTCCGATTCCGATAACCATTTTGTTAGAGTAGATCGAAGTGCTTGCCCATTAAGAACATTCAAATGAATGAAATAATTTATTTAAATGTTCTATTTCCTTTTTCCTTTGATTTTGGGAACGACTCATCCAGTAAAGGGTTCCTGTCTTCTCTTGCACAGTCTCTATTGGATGATTTGAAATGTTTATTTGACAAACCATTAAAAAAGATACATCCTAATGATATTTTTAACATAAATTTTATGTAGTGCCAACTCTTAAAGGTACTGGCACTTTTACCAAAATGAAAACATTAAAAACATGCAAGATAACATTGGATGTTTATGGCTGTGTTCTATTCACAGATAATATTGTAGTGGCTGATGAGACTAAAGAAGGGGTTAATACCAAATTAGAGTTGTGAAGACAAACACTACAAGTTTGGGGTTTGTTTGAGTAGACCAAAAATTGTGTGTGAAGTGTATGTTTAGTAAAAAGGAATGACTATCAAACATGATAACATTTGACGGACTAGTGATATGAGCAGCATAATGTTTCAAGTAACTAGGGACGATAATAAAAAACAGGGACATTGATGTATATGTTAACCATTAGGTCAAGGCTGGATGGCTTTAGTGGAAAAGTGCATTAGTACTCTTGTGATTGTAATATACCTAAGTTGAAAATGAAGTTCCATAGGATGACTATCAGGCTTGCTTTGCTATATGGTACTGAATGTAGGTGAACAAGAATCGATGTATTCAAAAGATAAGTATAGTCGAGATGTGAATGTTAAATATGATTGTGTAGTAAGATTAGGAAGTGCTGAGTTACAAATGTGATCCATCTCAAAGTTGGGATAGCTCCTATTGTGGATAAGGGGGAAGAAAACTGCTTATAATGGTTTGGTCATTAGGACACATAGTGAGGAATGGAGTGGACTTAGAAATATGGAGCAAATTGACATTGCACAAGATAAAAGGTCAAAGGGGAGGCGACAAAAGACATGGTTGGAAGTTGATAAATATGATATGAAACAAATAGATTTAGGAGTTGAAAATAGGATGGTGGTTGATAGAGATAATTGGAGGAGATTAGGAGAACCATCTGCCATATGAAAAATTATTTGTCTTGGTTTGTATAGCCGACCTGCATATATTGGAATTGAGGCTTGTCAGTCTGGTCTTAGAATCTGCCTTACTCGCTTTTTGGGTGTAAACATGTGTGTTCAAATTGTAGGTGAAAAAAGTTGGGTAGTTTTCAAAAGTGGATAGTTACTTTTTTCTAGCTTAAAAGGCAAAAACATTTGCACTTATATTTATTAGAATAACTTCAATTTTCTTTTGTAAAGTCCCTGATTGTCACTTGACTTGTTATACTTACTCAGGGGTTTTATATAACGTAGATGAGATTGGTGACTTTATTTTGAACTGAAAAGCATGCTTGTAACGGAAATTACTTTAAGCAGTTGAACCTGGCTTGGTGACATGGTTTTGGGTTCACTCTGTTTATAGTTCAGACAACTGAACTCATTTTTTACATTCTAACCAAACTCCTATTCTGTTTTAACTTTACTACACTATATCATTTCTTGTTTGAAGGACTTTGTTCTGAATTATTGGTGAGAATGGTGTAACAATTATGGGCCATACATTGCTTTGGAGTGCATTTAGGAAGATAATTCCTAGCATCTATCCTGAACTTTTGGCATTATCCTTTATGACATTCATTGCGGGTGTAGATGTTTTTTTAATGGCTGGTTTAGTGTTTGTATATTATAACTTTGATTCTAAACTGCTTTAATCATGTTTAGGATGTGTTGAATTATTTGGAAAAAGCATTTGGCGTTGCCAATGTGAGCCAAGGGGAAAATGGTAACACAGCTGCGCAACAATCCTTAAATGTAGTTGGAAAATCAGCCTCAGATCCAAACAGCTCACTGGTCTCAGATGTTTCTTGTTCAGACTTAACTGCTAGTGTAAATGCCTCCTATAGTCCTCTATCAAGAACTTTATCGGAGGATCGACTGGATGAAATGTTTTCTACACTGGATATCGGAGGACAGAACTTAGCTAGACGTGCTGGTCTTACATCTGCAAATGATCTAAGCAGGGTCGCAGTTGATAGATCTATCTCTGGTGTTGATCTGAAGCTCATGTTGCAACTTTACAAGGTTCGGTTTTTGCTTCTCACTAGAAATGTAAAGCTGGCAAAGCGTGAAATCAAGCATGCAATGAACATTGCTCGAGGAAGAGATTCGTCTATGGCTCTATTCTTGAAGGCCCAGCTTGAGTATACTCGTGGGAACCATCGGAAAGCTATCAAGTTGTTAATGGCATCAAATAACCAGACAGATGCAGCAATGTCAAGCATGTTTAACAACAATCTAGGCTGCATTTACTATCAACTTGGAAAGTATCATACATCTGCAGTGTTCTTTTCCAAGGCATTGAGTAATTGTTCATCTCTTCGGAAAGAGAACCATCTAAAGCTATTAACATTCTCACAGGATAAATCTCTCCACATAATTTATAACTGTGGGTTGCAGCACTTGGCCTGTGGGAAACCACTACTTGCCGCTCGTTGTTTCCAGAAGGCGAGTCTAGTTTTCTACAATAGACCCCTCTTATGGCTTCGACTCACGGAATGTTGTCTAATGGCTGCAGAGAAAGGACTTGTGAAAGGAAGCTCAGGTCCATCAGACAGATCAGAAATTCGAGTCAGCGTTATAGGAAAGGGTAGGTGGAGGAAACTTTTAATTGAAAATGGAATTTCAAGAAACGGACATGTAGATTCTGTTGAAAAGGAGGATTGGGCTTTAGGTGGGATGGGCAGCCTAAGCTTTCATTACCCTTGCTAGGCAGTGCCTCTATAATGCACTGCACTTGTTGAACCGTTCCGAGTTGAGTAATTCAAAGTCTGTTTTACCCTCCAACTTATCCTTGGAGGAGAATGAATCAAGTGATGGTGCATCTTCCAAGAACTCAAACCATAAGAACTTACCTGGCGTCGATTCCAAGGCTTCAACTATGTCAGCAGCATTAATTAACTCAATGGGATTTGAAAGAGCCAAAGGGGGGAACTAATCAGGAGAGTATTCAGAATTCCATCTCCTATTATGAAGATATTTGCAGAAGAGAAAATCAGATGATTAAGCAAGCTCTACTTGCTAACCTGGCATATGTGGAGTTAGAACTGGAAAATGCTTTGAAGGCGCTCTCTGCAGCTCGATCTCTCTTAGAGCTACCAGGTTGTTCAAGAATTTACGTCTTTCTAGGTCATGTCTATGTGGCAGAGGCTCTCTGTTCGCTAAACAAACCTAAGGAAGCCGCGGAGCACTTGTCTGTGTATTTGTCTGGGGAAAGTAATGTCGAATTACCATTTAGTCATTCAGAATGTGAGCGGTGGCGACTGGAAAAAATGATTGTGAAGAAGCAAACGGAGGAGCAGCAGCAGCTGCCAAGAACCCTCCCCCCGAGGGCTCACAGGATTTCATGTTTCTCAAGCCGGAAGAGGCACGTGGAACGCTTTACGCAAATCTTGCTGCGGTGTCTGCAATACAAGGCGACCTTGACATTGCCCACCGTTTTGTGACGCAAGCATTATCCCTGATACCCAACAGCAGCGAAGCCACTATGACTGCGATATACATAGATCTCATGCTCGGTAAGTCGCAAGAAGCTGTGTCGAAGCTAAAACATTGTAGTTATGTCAGGTTCCTACCCAGCAGTCAACAATTCATCGAACCCTCCTCGTGATTGTGGGGATGGTTTTTCTATTTCAATCCAGAGCAGCCCGCACCATTCAGTTGCTAGTTAGCAGGTAGACCAGCAATCCTTTTTAAAGGATTTGTATCATATAAAATATAGTTCAATTCAGATAATCAAGTTTTTTTTTTCATAATCCCCCATACCTAGGGTTCATTTTTCAGTGGTGTGGCTGATTGTTTTGGTAAAAAGAGCTGATGCCCCACCTGTGAGAATTTGAGATGTAGGGTTAATCAATTGTGTTTTAGTGGCTAATCCTTTCCTTCAGAGGTAATGACGTAATGCGCTTTTTATTCATTTTGGATTTAAATTCCATAGTCATTCATTCCAATCACTGCCTTTCAATGTTCTTATTATCATTTATAATCTCCAAAAATGTTACAAAATCGTGATCTAAATCCGGTTTTACGAATGATTGCATGAACTCTTGTCACAGAATAATTACCCTTTTTTCAAAAGACATGGTTGATAAGATGTACAGCGATTTATGTCCTCCAACCTCTCCCAGGCATGATATTCCTTTTCACTCGACCTCGTGACACCCTTGTCACAGTTGTCCACTTCATTTAACCCAATCCAAAAGACATGTATGATAAGATGTGCAACATCATCGTTTATAATCTTTAGTATTTTTCTTTTCTTTTTTGACGTGAAATTCATGTTCCTATCTCTTCAAGGCGTGACATTATGATTAATCCGGTTTTTGACTTGGTTTTTCAGTAAATAACCTTGCAGGTCATTTGGTAGCCAAATGGGAAAGAACCAAAGTAATACATGAACACACACCACATATTATTAGAGAACATGAAAATGGACAAATGTTGCCATAGGCTTTAAAGCTGGTCCCGTCTACCTACTCCAGTATCAGCCTACTGGGTCAAATTGGCCACTGTTTCAAACTGTATTCTTCAACTTTCCCTCTCTTGTACAAGGTAAAAAGTAAAGAAGCTACAATTCTACAGTCATTTTCTGAACCTGAGTTGCCATATTGTGGTTGAAAATAAAACATCAGACCCACTGAACATGGTTCACCAAAATTTTCATCTAAATGTATTGGTAAACACATCGTCCAGTCACATCCCCATTGCTACAATTGAATGATGCCAAAACTATATGGTATATGTCCGTGGTGGGTCCGTAATATTTTCTCCGACCCATTGAGTTTTAGGTTTCTACTTCAACTACTGAATTTGCCATGAAACTTTGTGAAGATTAAATATCAAGGGTAAAGTTCAAAAATGTCCATAAACGCTCCAGGCTACAGGTTATATTGTTGAGTTTCTCGATTATTAAAAATTATAAAATGATCATTTAACTATTCGTATGTTTCAAACTCTTCGTTTTTCATTTAAAGAATTAAGTGTCGTCTGAGTTGGATGTTAATATGTTGATTGAGATATGATGGTCGTTTAAGATTCTGAGATAAGATTTTAGCACATCTTAATCACTAGGCTAACGTCCAACTCAAACCGTCGTTAATTTTTAACAGAAAAATGATGAGTTTAGAACATATCAATAGTTGAGTGATCATTTTATAACTTTTAAATAATCAGAGAACTTACTAAAGTAATACCCTATAGTGGAGGACTATTTTGTAACTTTTAATAGTCAAGATTCAACAAAAAAAAAGTCCTATAGCCAAGGGATCATTTGTGTATTTACCTAAATATCAATTAGATGAAAATTTGTTGGGTAAACTACACAGGAAGTCACTAATATTTTATAATGTTTTTACTTTTATCATTTATGCTTGAAAAGTTACGTTATAGTCACTAATATTTTCAGTTTAAAAGATTAATATTTACTTTTAACCCCTAAACTATAATTAAAACTTTAGTATGACCCTTTAGGAAAAATTTTGAACTACCATTCAAAAAATTTTCTTTTAAAAGTTAAAAATATAAAAAAGATCTTAAAATTTTATAATTTTCCACAACGGTCGTCTTATCTGGTTTATATTTACACCGACAAAGAGCTTGATTTTCAGCCAAAGAACTCTTTTTTATAATTGTAGTGTAGCAGTCTCTTGTATTTTTATCAAACCTACTTAAACTCACTTGTTTATTTTTTAATTACACAACCAAAGAGTTTTGATTTTCTGAGGGAAAAAAATGGATTTTCTCAGTTTTGGCGAGTTCAAAAACATCAAAATTGATCCTAACTGGGCTAATTTTGATCATTTGCTTGAGGTTGTGAGAATAGGTGAAGAGAAAGTTGAAAAAGAAAAAGAAATGCAAAATCTTTCAAGATCTCTGCTTTTGATCCCAAATAGCTGGAGAAGATGCCGGACGACAATGGTTATGGAGGAAATTAGAAGAAACAAATTAAGATTTTTTTATTTCTTTATTTATTATAGTTAAACAGATCGAAGTGATATTTTCCAATTAGATATTGATCTTTTTTTTGTTAATGTGTAACACGAGAGCAAATGATAGAATCATCATTTCGTGTTACATCGATAATATTGATGATTATAATATAATTTTTCAAATAGAAGTGATATAAATAAAAACATAAAAAATTTGATTACCTCTCACGTATTTTACCAAAATATTATAATTATATATATATATATATATATATATATAAAAGTGGTTAAAAGATAATATATGTTTATGCTCCTTAACTATTAATAATGCGTATATACTCTACAGACACGTCTATTCGAATTTATTTATACAAATTGGGAAGTTGAGTGTTGAGAAAGAAAACCAGACATAGAAACACAAGAAAATCTTATGTCGATGTCGGGGTCTGTCTGTCATTTTATTCTACAAGGGATTTTCCACCCTCCACCCATAGTTTCTTAAACTTACACTGTACCATACACAGTGCCAAATTCACGAAAAAGAAAAATATTTACAGTAGAAAATTTATTCATTTCACAAATAAAACATTCTATTTTTAATTTTTTTGATAATACATAATAGAGTTTTAATTAAACATGCTCTGATATATAATTTTTCATTATTATTAATCAATCTTACTACGTCCAAGCAGTCCGGTTGTAATATCAGTTTCCTGATTCTTGACTTCTGCCATAAGCGACGAACACCTTTCGAGGAACCATAAATTTATTATCCTTGATCATCTATGATCCTTACATTTTTAAACTCTTTTAAATGTTGGATCCTAAACATTATTATAACTCCGCTGTTGTTCTTATATTGTAGCAGAATGTTAATCCCAAAAATGATGAAGTGAGAGAAAGAATTTCACTTGCAAAAAAGCTCTGGAAACTAAAACAACAATAACAACTGGTGTTCGCTAATACAAGCTTGACAAATCCAATCCAAATGAAGAAGAAAGTGAAAATTCAAAGGCAATGCGGGGGGGGGGGGGGGGGAAAGATGGACGACATCCTCTCATGTCGTTTTCATCAGTGCATCCGTGAACCTAGCAGCAACCTGCAACACTCGTACACCATGCACAAACCTAATCAGCAAGAAAGTTCCCATTAATGGAATAAGTGAGTTAGCTCAACAGTTGGACACTTTATTCCTTTTAATTTAAACGAAGAATTGCAGATGAATAATCATTGATCGATAATTTTTTGTGGGATAGATAAAGACATCAGGGAGAGTATACGAGTGAAGGAGGATAAACTCTCCCTGACATCTTCATATATCTCATAAAAAATTATCGGTCAGTGATTATTTCTGTATCGGTTATAGTATTCCGTCTAATTAGAAAGAATAAATCATTAATTACTTATGTAATCCACTTGTTGAGATCAACAAATATAAACGTTAAAGGTAACTCAACTTGGATCTAGAGAGAGCAAGTGTAACCAGGAGGGGGTGTTTTTCCGCAAGTGACGAGAAGCTGAAGAGCAAGCGGGACATAAATGTTGAGGTTGAGAACCTTGAGCTTCAAAGTGGTGCACAAGCAGGCAGCAGCTTCCAGTTCCACAAGTCCCGCAATAACCGGACAGCATGTGTTCACAACCGGGTCACCAAGCCCAATGTGCACCAATCCTCCCAACAGATCCACACATGCACCTAATTTCAACGTGTCAATGGGGCAAGTGGGAGCCGTGCTCGGCGGTGATGGGCACGGTTTCCCACTCGGTGGCACCACCGACACTGGAGGGAGGTCGACGGGTGGTTTCACAATCGGCGGAACGGTCACCGGAGGAACGACGGGCGGCAAGTTGATTGGGGGTCTAACAATGGGAGGGATAGGAATAGGACCTTTAGGGGACTTCCCTTTAGGCTTTCTATGCTTTGGTGGTGGTTTGCCACATGAACCACAACCGAGAATCGGAGTGGCCGAGGAAATGAAAAGCATGCAAATGAGAAAGAGAGCTGAGATTTTGGTGAAGTCCATTGCAAAAACAAAAAATATGTGAAACTTTTGTAGAGAAGTAGGGAATTATATAAGAGAAGTGAAGAGTGGAAGAAAACAAAAATCAATTAGCCCTAGAAGCAGCTTCACGTGAACTTGGGCAGTGCTAGTTGGCAATCTATATCACTATGCCTTTATAATTATACAAATCTATATGAACTCATAAAGTGACATAAAAGATAGCGTTGTTCTTTCTAAAAGATTTAAATTTGAGTAATTACGTCTATAAAATATGTGTATTGTCATTGATTAATAAATAGAACGATGTAATATTCATTTAGTGTTGTCTTCTTCGCTGAATGAATTCCTATGGCAGTGCTATCGTTGGCATTTGTTGTAGTGAAGCATGAGTTGTTGGTTTGTAGTACAGTGCGTTCTGAATTGGTTTTTAATAGGAAGGGATTGTCGATGTGGGAGGTACATTTGTTTGATTTCATGTTTGTAAAGCAATTATGTATCATATATATAATCATCGGTATTCGATTTATTAATTGGTTAATTCGGATCGGATACTGCAGAGGTAAGAGTAACTCCCACAACCCAATTTATTTCATTAACAAATATCATGATTCAAACTTCTAACCTTATTTAAAAGATCTAGTGCCTCATTTTACTAGACCAACTAGTTGTTGATGGCAACTATACCTTTTTCATTCAATAAAATTATGACTGCCTAACTAAAAAATAAATTATTCTTTTATTTTAAATAAATATAAGAGAAAATAACCTCAGTGACCGAAAATGCCTTATAATATACGATTTTAACTAATTTTTTTGGATTTGTCAAAATGACATTTAAAATCGCAACGCGAACTCTAATTTTTCAAATAGTTTCCAAATTCGCAACGTGATTTTCTAAATTTACGTTAGTCCAAATTCGTTGCGATAGTCGAAGTTCGCGTTGCGATTTTCCAAATTCGTTGCGATAGTCCAAGTTCACGTTGCGTTTTTCCAAATTCGTTGCGATAGTCCAAGTTCACGTTGCGTTTTTCCAAATTCGTTGCGATAGTCGAAGACACGTATTACCACGACCACGACCCGACCCGAGACGGGACGGCGGCGGCGGCGGTGCGCGAGAGTCCCCTTTGTTCTCTTCCACTCAATAAGGAAGTGAGAAATCCAAGCCTTAAATACCCATTCCCAATAGTATTTTCAATACTATGTGGATTGAGCATTGTCAACACTTGGGAATCTTTTACACTATCGCAACACATTCTTTATTGTTTCAAACTAAGATCTTACAAATGGCTTGAGAATCTTATACACTATCGCAACACATTCTTTATTGTTTCAAACTCCACGTGAATTTGGAATAGTTAAAATGTAAACGTATTTTGGATTTTTCACTATTACTATCGCAACAACACATTTTTCAAACTCTCGCAACACATTTTAACTATCGCAACACATTTTTCAAAATCGCGTTGCGAATCTTATAATTGCGTTGCGAATCTGGATATTCGCGTTGCGAATTTGAAAACTGAGTTGAAAAATTAGAGTTCGCGTTGCGATTTTGTTGATCATTTTGGCAAATCCAAAAAAAATGGTTAAAATTGTAATTATAAGGTATTTTCGGTCTCTAAAGTTATTTTCTCTAAATATAAATGTTTGCGTACATCAATAATAATTTTAATATCTTGTCAAAATTTAATCAAATCAAAATTTGATGTACATAATTATGTTAGCTCGATAATCATCAAGAAGTATTAAATGGTGTTTTAAAATTTTCCACTAAATCATTTATAATGATAGAAAAAATCAAAAATTTTAATATATTCTATATTTACTACTTAACTTTTCACCGTTAATTTTTTTTTTCCAATTTATTAAATTTGAATTGAACATTTCAAGGAAAAAATTGTAAATCTTTATGTCAAGACTCGTATAAAAATCTATGTTATATCTTTTACAGTGACTAATATAGAACCACTTTAATTTTTTGAGGTTAAACTAGAACGTCTCTCTTTTATAATATCAAACTTGTGTAAATAAAAATTAAAAAATACCTCTCAAAGTAGATGTTTACAAATTTGAAGCTCAAGAAGAATGAAGACAAAAATATACAATAAATTTTACACGCTACGTACAGGAGAAAAATAAAATAATGAACAATTAAACTATTTTTTCTTGATCTTTAAGGTTAAATATTCATCTCATGCTTCTTAAAGTGTCCTTAAAGTATATTTATTGTGTGGAATGAGATATTAGTTATTTATAGTCGTTAGATGTTTATAACAGTTTGAAGGTAAAAGTTATATTTTCTAGGATTTTGGGAATTAAGAGATCGATCTTTTTAAAATGTTTTTTTATATTCGCAACATTTTAAAAATATTTTAAATATATGATTAACAAAATGATTTAGAATTAAAATTTTATTTTTAAAACACTTTGAAAATAAATTTAATCAACTTAAAAATATTAGATATAAATATATCTTTTTACGAACATGGTACTCTAAGTTCATGAATGCTTTGGTCGTTGTACTCTGTTCTTGCTGCCCCGATTTTTACACGACTTTCACATCCGGTCATCAAATCGAATTGAAAACTTATTGTAACTTACTCATATCCTTAAACATCATTTCATCATTTAGATTTATTAAAAAAAATAGTACGAATTAAGCGATTTCGATGATAAATGAATTGTTGTTATTTTTTTAGGTTCTAAGTTCAAATACTATGAATGTCAGATGTATAAGCGTTTAAAGTTAAATAGTTAATAATTGTTTTTAAACAAATATTATCTTATATTTACATAAATTCAATAAAAAAAAGATTTATCAGAAAAATATCTTGATGTTCTTCAATAGTTTGTAATATATAGAAGATGGTGAGGACAGAAAGAAAATAACGAATAAAAAACAGAGAAATGAAGTAAATATTTTTTAAGTTTTATTTCAATTTAAATATTGACCTAAGTGGTTAAAGAAATGTATTGTTCTTTTTAGAAGTTTTAGATCCAAACAGTTGTATCTGCATGGTATTGGTGTATATGTATTGTCGATTATTAAAAAAAATTATAAACAATTATTAACTTCTAATCATCTCAGACTATTCAAAATAAAATAATAATGAAAACGATAAAAAACATAAATAAAACCCATTATGTGTTTTATTTCAAAATCTAATATCAACCGTTAATAAGCAAACCATAAGGAAGTAAAATAAATTCAAGTGGCGAAACAAGATGGTTGTACAAAATTGAGATGGAGACTTCACAACCGATGGCAGATTTGGTTGGCCAACTTGTGGTCAGATCTAAATGAGAGAAATGCATATGAAAATGAAATAATGGAAGAGAAAAACAGAGATACGCATAAGCAGTACAGCAAGGCAAACATGTGAAACGGTGGTTGCACTGAGTAGCCGTGGGGGCGGGGTGGCAGCCCATGGTTTTCAATTTTATATAATTCAAAACTCGTCCAGCATCCACATATGTATGCATTATTAATAGAGAAATTAAATTAACCAAATTTATTAAAAATATTAAATATTAAATATTATATATTAAGTTAAAATTCATTAAGAATCAAAGTCTTATTTTTAACCATATTAGACATATTTAAGCAATCATATACATGAATTTCTTAACCAATCAAATTTCAACCCAAATGAAAAAAAAAACACCTCTATTACAGCACGGACCAAATTAAATTGTGGTATAAGAATTATCGTTATCCCCTAAGATCTCAAATTTAAATACCATGAATGTCAAAAGTACGAGTGTTTGATATCAAATAATTGAGTGTTTTTTTTGGACTTTAGGGTTTCAAATGCATGGATTTTGGCAGATTAGAATAACTCTAGGACTTCAAGGTTTTCTGTAAAACCAGATAGTGTTTTTTGTCATTAACAAAATGAATTAAGTATTTTTTTTAATACAACAACCAACATAAAAACAATGTGTTTATTTTTTTGGCTTTAAATTTCCAATTAAATTATTCATATAATAAAAAAAAAGCATCGATTCAAAGCATACTAATATTACAATTGCTACACACAGGGGACTCAAACGCCTATGTATAAAGTATTTCAAAATTGGCAGAGATCACCAAGCCTTCAAGATCTCTTGACAACAACAGTTGCAAAGAATGGATGATGGCTCAACTCAAAAGTCACCTTCAGTGATGGGTCAAGTGCTCCTAACCGGCATATCAGATTTTGAGCAACACTGTTGTGTTCTGCTACCTGCTCTAGTTTTCGGAGTTCCATTAATCTCTCTGGATCATTCGAGAAACTACTCTTCACCTCCTTCGCAATCCTCTGAGCATCCTTGAAGTAATTATACATTGCTAGTGTCTGCATTCAAAGGTAATGTGAAATTCAATGCATGAGAAAGAAAGAAAAAGAAGAGTGTCCCGGAGTGGGATTTGATTACGGAGAGATCTTATCCGATACTCACAGAAAAACGAGCATGAGTTGTTGATTCCTTGTATGACAGATACGAAACATTATCAGGAATGCAGGCTCTTTGAAAAAGCTCAAAATGCTGAGCAAATTTCTGGATAGAAGTTAAACAAGGTTGAGAACTTAATAAAATGCAGTAAATGAAAATAGCTACAACACAAGTGAACTTCTAATTCAAATAAATGGCTTACAATTTTCATTCATGAACAAAATATGAAAATAGGAAACAAAAAGAAGAGAGATTAGGAAATAACACCGTAGCTATGACTTATTATGCGTGACTGTTTGTGTGCGCAAATATCAAGTGTAATACTTCACCTCCTGCTCGGTATTAAAAGGTCCTGGACTCTGGAAGAGGGAGATTTCATTCCTCAAAGCAGCAAGCATCTGGAAAGAAACTGAACAGATTAATTGAGAACATAAGTTGACAATATTGAAGCAAAATATTGATACGAGAGATGAGCATCATCTGCTGTTTATATATACATGTTCGGGGCAATTGTAAACCAACTTCTTCTACAGAAATCTACAGTTTAAACCAAAAATGACAATGGCTTCGCTTGGACTGGAAGACTATTTCCTCACAAAAATGAGAATATACAACACAGGGTGGCTCAGAGCCCTCTCACTATCAATAAAATATCACAATTTCCAGATAAAACAAGTAATGTTACCATTGTAAGTCCTTCAGCAAGACATATATAGCATTGAAGGAACATGACTGCCGACGGGATCCGTGATTCCCTAGCCAAATCTTTAGGAGAATCTTTTTTCTTCTTCCCCTTCCGTTTAGCTGATCATAACACCATTCGTAAATTTGGTTGTTTAGAACGGCATGCAGGTCATAGAAAGGAAAAACAAAATATTTAGATTTACAAGTTGTTCAATTGATGATACTTTATTTAATATTTTGGATGTGAAAATTTAACAAAAATGCTTGTGCCTCATAAACTATCATAGCAGAGAGAGAGAGAGAGAGAGTACCTGTGTCATAGCTGCCAGCCATCTTAAGATGAGTTTTCTCTGCAAGTTTTATTAAGACAGCATACAAGTACCAATATACCATGCAGTATTCACTCGTAGAATAAAGGTCCAATTCAAAACCCAATATGAGAAATCGAAAAGTTATCCAATACGTTTGCTCTTCCACCCAAAGAAGGATATGTTGGAATATTTTCATGCATATATTGCAAACCACAAGGAAATGCAAACCACAAAGAATAATTTTTGTCAAAGAATTGACAAAAACAAAATTGGGTGTCCCACTGAACATCCAAAGGCACATTGAACACTGTTATGATAACAGTGGAACTTAAAGTTTTCATGTTCTTTTATCTATACATAGGAAAAGCTGTTGGCTGTTGCTGCCTTGTTACATAAGCACAATGTTGCTTGCAAAGATTATTACTAAATCATAGGACTGGTACATAGCCCATTCTGCTCAAACTGAAACATTAAGGCATATTAATTTATCTTGATTTTAATAATGAAATTTAAAAGAGTCGTTCTTGTGCAATACTAAAAAAATATTTATTTAATAAACACCCTCTCTAAGTATTATTTGTTATTGTTATTGTAGAGTACTGCATCAATCTTGCCTAATAAATTAAAGCAAGAAAAAATATATTGATGAAGACCCTACAAATTTAGTTCATTGTAAAGTTCTGAACCACAAATTTATTTAATGTTACCCGTTAACAAGATCAACCTCTTAAGATAACTATTTTCTCTGTTCAAGACAAAGACACTGATTAACCATGCTTAAGCCATTTTTAAATTTCGTAGTTTCATGAATGTTAAGCTTTTCCCAGATATATAGAAAATCTGTTGCTATAGGGTGCATTTTTCCTATAAAATATCTCAAGAATAAACTTGCAGTAAGTGCCCTGCAGGTCCTAACTTTTTTAAATCAAGTACAACATTCATATATGAATCAATCATAAGTCCTTCAATTTAGGAATCTGTTAGAAAGAAAAAAAAAAAAAAGAGGCAATTCCAACCCATTAGAAATTATAATTTAGAATATATAAATTTCGGTATCTATTTAGGAAGTTAGTAGTTTTGTTTATTGTATACGGTCAAATTCTTCAATCGGTCCTTGTACTATGAGAAAGTTGTTGATTTTATCCCTATACTCTAATTTGATCACTTTTAGTCCCTAAACTTTTCAAAATTTGAATTTCAGTCTTGACTTAAACAGTAGCTATTAAATTTGTTAAATCATATTCTGCTATCACTCCCTGTATTATTGGAAAGTTGTATATTAAGTTCCTATTGTCTAATTTGACCATATTTTAAGTCAATATGATTTAATCATATTGTCCCTGTATTGTTTGGGACTGGACTGAAAGTTCAAAATTCGAGAAGTACAAGGACGAAAATTGTTCAAATTAGAATATAAGAACTTAATCCACAACATAGACATAGTATAAGGACTAATGAATCAATTTGACCATTGTAAACCACAGGAAAACAAAAAGAAGAGAAGAAAGAGCAACACACCTCATCATTTGAACTGCTGCTTGAGACTTCTCCAAACTTGTTTCTGAAAGCAAGCTCAAGCTGATAAATAAAAGACACGGGAAAAAAAAAGTTCGATTATTGAGCCAAATGGTGCATGAAGTAAAAAAGAAGCAGAAGCTAGATTTACTCAATAGCTGTTGATATTTTACAAAGTTGACATGTACAATAATAGGGCAAGTTATTATAACACACAAGAGAAAGAATTCATGTTTTCTTATTTCCTGATTGATATAGGAGGTAAGAGTGCTTATATTTTTTGGTGTCGAGGAAGGGAAAGCCCTACAATCAAAGGACACTAGCTAAAAATAATCCTCAGCAAAACAATCCCATCACATCAGCCATTAACAGGTTAATGGCTCCTTGCAGTAGTTCATCAATAGTACTCAACCCCCCGTGTTGCCTTAAGCTCCATTTAACCAACCAATCAGCTACAAGTTCTTCTGAATTGGAATGTTATGCAACTTCCAAACCCAATTCTTTTTGTCATTTGTTTGATCTCATGAATCAGACAAAGGTCGGGGAGGTGTTTCATTGACTTCATAAGTGAGTGCTTTAAAGATGCAGACACTAATAATAAAAAGAACAAAAAAAAATTAAGAAAATTATCATGCAAATAATACAACATTCGGGAAGACTTAGCCCTTAGTTATGTCACTAATAAAGGTAGGAGGCATCCCATGATAAAGTCACAAGAAAAACAGCACAGCAAAGGAAATTAGATTTGATAAATCTAAAAGAACTTTCACCTTGTTGATTTGATTACAGAAATTCAGAAGACAGTTGTGCATTCTAATGTTATTATTAGCATATCAGCAGATGTATTAATGAGGAAACTGATTTTCTAGCTAAGTCAGGAATTGGTTAGTGAGTGAGGAGGTTGTTGTTATGAGTTGAGGTTCTGGTGTATTATTTTGGTTATGTTTCTATGTTAGGTAATCTTATGTAATTATGGGTTATTAATATATTAAGGCACTCTTTTCCTCCTTCCGCTATTTGTCTCCACACAAGAGGCAACTATGAGGGAGGTTTTTAATGAGGCCTTCTATTCCTATAAAAAAAATAAATCTAAAAGAACAAACAGATGTGTGAAACATGCACAAGGGAAGGTTGGATGTGTTAGAAAAGATATCAACCATGCAATGAGATGTATTTGGAAATTTGACACAATACAAACCTGTACATAGATAACACGCCAATCTTGCAAAAATTTCCCAAGCTTACGCCTCTGCCAGGCAGCATTTGTACAAAGTATTTTGAGCAAATTCATTACCAACTGCAATAAATAATAGCATTCCACATACATTAGAAGAAAGCACTACAATTTTTAAGCTTGGTGCATTAACATAAAAGCTTAGCATTGTGATCAAGACGGTAGCCTTATGTTTCTAACTCCCAAGAGGAGAGATAAATAAATGTATATACCATCTGAAAAGGGTTTTGATAATGAGCAACCTAAGGGCACTTTACAGATTACCATATTAGGTCAGCTACTATTGCCAGCACCATCAGAATTCATGAAATTAGCTATTAACTAAGGCAATTAATATATAATATTACTAGTAACTCGACCAACCTTAACAAGTGCCCTAAGTTTGGGCAGTTGTAAGCAACATCCATAATAAAATGTACTAGAAAACAACAATGAAACATATAGCATAATGATAATTGTCATAACCATTCCTAGTTGCAGAATAGATTCATTCTTCTGAATATCATGGTTTTTAGTGGCTTCAGGCAATGCTGCAACTTTAGTTATCACTGCAAAGAAAGGATCGCGTCCATAGAGTTTCCCATCTTGAACCAACAGAAGCTGTTCAACAATATTCACAAGATTAAGAATCTGAAAATTTGATGCTTAAAAACAAGTAATATGTTTTTTGATTATCCTAGGCAGAATAACTTAAAAACAAGTAATTTGAATAGAACAAGAAAAAAATCTGGCTAAAAACATTGAATTCCAAACTGTTTAATCTCACTCAATCTTTGATCATTAACCAGTAATATAGTCAATATCATTTTGTAATGTGTAGTAACAACAAGACCACTGTGTTCTTCAAGAACTGGAAATACTGGGTGTGGTAGTCAGTTAAACTTATGTCTTGGTCTTTGTTCAGCTATATATGTCCTCATGAGTGTAGAAACAATGCCTAATGGGAGAATCTTCCCATGTTTGGATAAGTGAGGCATTGCGTTAAAACATTTAAGGAGAAATCCTGATTAAATGAAGGAATTGGGGAAATAATGAAGCACCAATTATTATTATTTTTTTTATAGAAGTTGGAGGTCTCATTAAAAACTCCCTTCGTATTCGTCCACACACTAAGAAGTATGTTAACGAACATTGGAAGGAAGAAAAGAGTACCTCATAGTTTATTAATAATAATACCCAATACATAAGAAAACACGGAATATCCTCCTATGGTGATATACACCATTACAACAAACACCTTAAACTCTCACAACCTCAACCAAAAACCACAATCGACAAATACCCTATTTCTAAATTACAACTCCAGCATTTGGATAAAAAACAACTCAAAATAACATAACACAAAAAAAGCAACACCTGCAACCATTTAAATTAAATCAAAGCCACAATTGAGGAGACGAGATCAAATGAGAATCGACTTCGTCAGGGACCCAAGAGTTTGGTTTGAATGAAGCACCAATTATGGAACTAACTCCACAAACAAGAAGCATCATATATGTATATTTGACCAAGGGAGCTCAAGGGATAAGTACTGCAACATGTTCTGAAGAGCATATCTTTCTTTTTAGTCTATTTCATGATTACTAAGTTCATTAAGACAGCCATAGAAAAAGTAGCATGAAAATTTTCCCAATAAAACAATATAAGTCTAAGTGTCCAAACAAAGGGTTAAATAATGAATCAGATTAAAAGATAAGGGCAGTTGTCCAATAAAAAAAATTGAAGTCAAGAAAGTTTGACCTGCAGATGAGATCGTGCCACCAAATCAGGTTGAGATTTCTGGAACTGAACCACAAAGTGCAGAAGACTTTCTAAATGAGGATCCAATGAGTAAGAGCAAATAACATCGAGATCATGTAGAAGTTTTACAAAATACTCAACCGCCTGCCAAAGCAACAAAAGAGCAATTATTGTAATGATGAAAGTAGATTCAAAGAAATCAAATTCAAACTACAAAAATTTTGAACCTTTTTCCAACTAAGAATTCTAATTGCACGTGGTGGCGTGGGGGCAGATAATCTACTGTTTAGCATAGCATCAAATCCAATTGGTTCACGACCTGAAGCAGTAGTTTTGTCATCTATATCACCTTCACAAAATTCGCCAAAACAAGACCTTATAAAGTCTGCTGATTTTAGAATGGACTCCAGCTCTGTCATGCAGGAAGCTATATGTTTTCTAGCTGACTCCAGACCTCTCCCCTGAGGTCGTTTCATGCAGGCAAGGATGTGGAAAAAATGCTGAAAGCAAAGGAAAGGCCGGTTAATGTTATAGACTACCAGTGCAGCCATGTATGTGTTTGTCAGAAACAATAAGACAGATAAGAATGTCACCAGAGTAAATAACATTTGCTAGAAGAAAAAACCAACTAGAATTTTGGCAATATAAGTTTGGAAAACAACATTCATAACATATTCAACGTGTAACGATACACCCTCCTTAATGTACTGTCCCATATAAATAACAGTTATCTCAAAATTTCATATTAGGAAAAGATACATAATTTAATGGAGTTTGCAGATTTTATGCAATCAACAATCAAAGTTTTGACTGTTCAGGAAATAAAAGATTACATGAAAGGAAACCCACTAAAGAAATTCTGAAGGCCTGCAAATCTTCTATACAAAAGCACAACCACAGACAGATAAACATGTTCAGGGAAGTAATAAAAGAGTAACACAGCATAAGACCTTACGAAAGCGTAAACGGCACAACAAAGCTTTGCAGAATCCTTCTTCCAGATTGGGATTGGACTGTAATGGCTCCAAATCTGCATCAATATAGCTACTTAATTAATTTAAAATTTGCATTTTAATGATCCTTAAGAAATAATCTATGACAGAAGTTGACAACGAAAAAAGATAAGATACAAGAATTTAGACAGAAGGCAATTCTTCTCAACAGTAGCCCATTGATGCTGGAATGACGAGGTAACGCAAAACTTCTTATTTTGTATCCAAAGGAAGAATGAAGTACAATCCAATGCTTGGATAACATGCCCTACTTAAAAATGAAATCTTAACCTGGGCAGCACATTTTACCACTTTTCCAGGCAATCTTTTCGTCATTTATCATTTCCCTCATTATGCTATGAGAAATTCCACAAAAGAAAAATTATAGAATAAAGGATCCATATTAATGAACAGTTAAATCAGAACCAGATTTATCTTACTAAAGACCAAAAACAAATATAAGCTTTAGATTATCAATTTGTGTCACCAATTAAAAAACTAATGCAATAATACAGAAATAACTGACTTCTCCATATTTAATCATAGTGCCTCTAAGAACAAACATATCAATTGCAAGAAAGTTTAAAGAGAACAAGAGAGCATAATGACCAATGCAAATTATGAACAATGTGCATGTTATTTATAATGTGATTTTTCAGATATGAAGATTCCCTCAGTAAGAAACAAATAAAAGCTAAGCGTAACTACCTTCTGGTAATCTTCTTTTTGATGATGCAGCTTTACATGCACGTAACTGGCGAGATATTGTCTCTTCAACAGCATTTAATATTGACAAGCACTTATCATCTCCATCCCCATTTAAAGGAAGACCATATGTCATTGTAAAAAGATCCTCCTCCTGTCAAATGAATGTGTTCACAACTAAACATGTAGTCTTAATCACAATTTCGAGAAACAGAACCAATGAATAATGATCATGAATGCAACACATACTCTTCTTCCATCAGAGAATGAGATTATATTTTTAAATGGAGAACAATTTTACAATAAGTACCCTTATCTAGTTATCATCTACTTAGCCTAATCCTTTTTCTTTATACCCGCTAGGTCTTTTGGAGTATTGGGAGGGAAGGGATACAAGGACCAATTATTTCAAATTCGATAAATAAAATCTGTTCAGATATGACACCTTCAATATCAGAGCTAGAAGCAAAATTCAACACACTTTTTAATCTTAATCTTAAAATAGTTTACAGATTTGTCATCCACAATGATTTAGCTTATAAATAATTCGAAAAGACTGAGACCATTTTTTCTTTTCAATGAAAAGAAGCAGAAAGAGTTGTTGGAATACTTTACTTCATGTGTACGGGCAACTGAAACCACTGACACTACTGCCTTGCAGGTTGCGCGTATAAGTCTGCAATAAGAATGAAGTAAGGCATGTGGAGCAGTCCTATCAAGCCTCAGAAGATAGACGCAAGAAAGACAGTTTGTGCCAAGGAATGACCCTTATGCCATGCTGCCTGCATGAAAAACAACAATTTAGAAGAAGAAAAAAAGAAGACAAAGGAAACAAATAGGGGCTGCGGCATAAACACCAACAGAACCAGTATAAATACAAAATCATTAAACACGTGAGAAAAAATATCATTTTATTATGTGGAAGCATTTGGGACAGTTCGGAATAGGTAAGACAATTTCATGACTAACCAAACCAGCCATATATGTGCAATACAGCAACCCCACCCCACCCCCCACAAAAAAAAAAGGAACTGACAGAGCAAAATAATACCTCACAAGCTAGAAGATGGTCCATGATATCAATAGTGCATTGGACATCAATAGTGCTGTCAAGGCTAATAGGAATAGGAGCAGCACCATGTTCAATGGCCTCATCAATAGAATAGTATGTACGGACAATACCTGAATCCATCTTTGGATCCATTATCTAATAAAAGTAAAAAAAATGTCAATGAAAACAATATAATTTGAACATAAAATATAGGGAAATAGAAATACTTAAAAGTAAACAAGAAAAGGCGGACCAATTAAAATATAATAAATGGGAGCATTTCTTTTTATGTAGGATTATGGAAGTAACGACATCACTTGCCATACGAGGGTAGGATCATGCATTCAAATGTCTAGGTGACCATTGCAACACACCCTCATTTGGTAAATATATTAATAGCTCAAACACTGATGGTGAACAAATCAAGTTATGAAAAAAGACATGGCAAAATGTAAAATATAGCAAGTATCATCTTAAGTAAGATAATTATAACTTCGAACACTCTTTAACAATGAGAAAGAATCACACGACATTGACAATAATCAAGAAAGCGTCAACACCTCTAAAGCAGACATGGCAGCAAAAAGATTGAAATTGTCCCCACGAATGAGCTCTCCATCTCTAAGACCTGTGATCACCAAACATTGCAGAATAACTAAGTGGTAAAGCGAAACCCAGAAAACAAGGTCTTAATTATCACTCAAAAACACCCACATTTTAACTTTATATTTTGCAAAACTCGACAACAGCAATGATAAGTTTGGGAGTCACTAAATACAATAATAGTTTTCTTGCTTTGGGTGATCATACATAAAAGGGAGAAAGCCTTAACACTCATAAAGCTAAAACCTTCTATTTTCCATATCTAGCCTCTATACTACATAAACAATAGCTTTCCACCCTTTAGTTACCGCAGAAACTATAAAAAAAATTACTTGATAAGCAAAGGGTTGAGGTATTAGCTGTTAGATCTCTCAATCAATTTTTTTTTAAAGGCTTTCCTTTCTCTCCTTTCATTTTGACTTTGGGATTTAGAGGAGAGAGATTGGACCTGCACAGGCGGCTTGAAGGAGAGGCGAAGCATCGGCCCAGACAGTGGAGTCGGTGGCGGGAATGGAGGCAAGCTTGAGTCGGTGGCCATCCATGGAGGCTTCTTCTGAAACTGCGTTATCAGCCATTGGGTTTACTTTGGGGAATAATTTGAACAGCTGAAACAGTGAGGCTTTGGGGTTTGTGTTGAGTGGGGAGGTTGGAGATGATGTTTTGTTTTCGGTCTTCGCTTTGGTCTGCAAAGTTCGCCAAAAGAATCCTCGTAAAACCAACTCAAACTGTGACTGTGAGGGTTTAGGGCATCTTTTGGGTCGAGCCGGGTCCCCCATCTACACTCACCTTGGGTCCATTCCATTTTTCTTTTCTTTTCTTTAAAAAAAAAGGTTTCTTGCATTTTTCTTTTAAAATGTATTTCTCTTTGAAATTTTAACCTTTTCCAGTGTCATATTCAATCATTTTTCACGTATAAAATTGGATGAAAGAAGAAAATATATTTTAAAAATAAATTATAATTATTTTATTAAAAAATAATATTAGAGTGATCTTATTCAAGCAATATAGTCCTTTTTCAATAAAAAATGATAATTAGAAAAGGGTAAATTATATTAATTTCATTGAAGTTTGGGTAAAATTTTCTTTTCCCCATTGAAGTTCTAAAAGTTAGAAAACAGTAACTAATATTTTTTATTTGTAACAATATTATTACTGAATTGTTAAACGTCGTTACACTTTTTACGTAAAACTGATGTGATACGCTTAAGGTGTTTAAAGTGTCATTGCAAGCCTCGTTGGCACCTATCTTAACTGGTCATTTGACTCCTACTAAAAAGACACAACGTTTACTTATTAATTTTAGATCCCACATTTCTTAAACCCTAACTTCAAAGGGGGAAAACAAAAAGAATATAGAAGATGAGCAAGAAAGATTCGGAAGTTGCAGAACCCATCGACGCTATCGTTGAAATTTTTTCCATCTTCTCAATGCAATTTCCATGGCAATAGGATGACAAAGATATTGAATTGCATACTGAAATGGATCAATTTGTAGAAAGATAGCTCTCTTGATGATAATGTTGACTCTTTTCCATATTATTTAAAGCATAATTATGCGCACCTAATAATCTTTGCCAACTAGTTTTAATGCTCATGATCATCATATATATCATCAAAGAAACAACGCATTGGTATTATTATTCCAATGCAGTATATATTCATAATTTTTTTAATTATTAACAACGCACACACATTTTATAGAAGTAACTGTTTGAATCTAAAACCTTTAAGAGAAAATAACTCACTTTAACCATTGATTTCACTCAATGAGTTCAATAATGTTACATTTTAAAACATGAGAAACGAGGCTAATAAGTGACCATTAAGTTCAACTGAAATTCAACAGTTAAGTTATTTTGCCTCTGAATACCACTCATTGTTCTAATCTCAAAGATTCCGATAGTTCCTAAGGAAATGAATGGAGTATTTGTCTTGCAAAGGAGATCAAAGTTGAGATAAGGGCATCCCGCGAGGTATCTTGTGAAAGACAGGGTCACATTCCTCCCATATTATTTAGGCTACTATTTTACTTAAAATGTGATTAAAATTAATTACATTCATTTTAGGAAAATATAAAATATTTTATCCTAAAACAAATAAATTTTAAAATATTATAAAAATATTTATATCATCAAATATAACATCAATTAAAATACATTGATTTTATAAAAAATTATGTATAACTTATATTACTAGAGCATAATAATATTAATATATTAATTATAACATAAATGATCAAATATTATTAACATATTTAAATTTTAAAAGCTATATTTAGATATTTGAAAAAATCAATACATAATCAATGTGAAAATTACTTCTTTATATTACTCACGCAAGGGTCATTATGAAGAATAATACCAGAATCAGGAGACATTCACAATGCGACCCAGCTGGTGGTGTGAGCTAAACCCAATGAAATAGAGACAAATGCATTGTACAATTTACACAATATACCGATAACATATGTTTATTCAACACCAACAGCCTTTTTTAGAACGAGAGGAGGTTAAATGTGAAGTTAAGGTAATGTCAATATCTCAATCCAAAGATTACCCAAAGCATTATATATACTGAGTTGATTCTAAGTAGAGTCACTTGGACCAAAAGTAGTGCAGCTGATACCTTGATCATTGGATTCTAATTCCTGAAATGAAGGAGACCGGGGAAATAAAACACCACCACCCACGGACAGTGGACCGTTCTGGATAATACTTGAGTAAAAACCCAGTCTCCATACGATGAGAGATCATGAATCAATCAAATGAAGCAAAAAGCTTAGATCTAGCTTTAATTGACAACTGAAAAAAAAGAACGATAACCACTTCCAGCTTACTGCTTACACTTGAGCCATCATCAACATTTTGATATTTATATTTAATGTGATTAAAGTTTACAGTTTATCATCTCTCCAAAATGCCATAGAGCATGATTAGTGTTTGTATGAGTGCTTTCCAAGAAAGAAAATGAACCTTAGCCTTTATGAAAAAAGGAAATTTGCACTTCAGTCTGATGGTATGCCATGTGAGAAACAATTAGTGAACTGATAAAAAGGGAAATAAATCAATAGGGCAACACTTGAATAAGTTTGAAGATGAAACTCAAAAATCGATTAACAATTCCATACCTCATATAACTTGATTTTCCTGAATACTGGAGTGCCTCAAAAAATTAGGCTCACTTAACACGAACCAGTATTAAAAATTACCCCTTCTAAAGAACAAGCCGCCGAACTTTTGAACAATTGAGTTGAGCAACTTGATGAATATTTGTTTTCCTCGTATACAAAGCTAGCCATATTATCCATCGACCAAATTCTTATCTCTGATCAATATCAGGAGGTGGCTTGGTTTTCACTTTCTTTATAATGTAGCACTTTCTGTACATAAAACATCATGTATCCTTGGGAGGCTCTCACAATGCTCTCATTAACTTGAGTAATCCAAGCATCATCACACTTGTACCATTGGTTACTTAATCGCAAATAAGTCACGTAATGGCCGGCATCCAATCTACCTGTGTGTGTGACAACAGCAAACAACTCAAATTCGGTTGATAAGTCATTGGATGCATCTTGGTCATCTCCATCAAATGGGAAGATCCTGTTCCCAAACCGGCTCCTCAAAATGGAAGAAGAAAGATAAGGAGTCATGTCTAGTGAAAATGGGAACTGCAGATACCGGTCAACCTTCCTTGACATCTTTCGTATCGAAGAATGTTCAAACCTTTTAACATGAAAACATGAAACCAGAGGAAGTTTTCTTATCGACATCTGCTTAAGGGACTCTTGCCTCACCTGACACTTTTGGCAGAAAAATTTCTGGTCAGAGCCCAACTTCTCAGCTCTTGTAAATCGTTCTAAGCAACCCTTTAAGGTAGATACCCCACAGTTTTGGTTTGGACCCAAGCAATCTACCTCAACATTGCAAGAATTATGGGATTTTGCAGATGAAGACTTCCCAGAACCTCCTTGATTTGGTTCCAAGTCCAGAGAGATGTCTATACACGGGTCATTTGTTGTGGATGTGAATCCACAAGCCATACACATGACATCCGATCTCAGAATACCAGAAAATACTCTATGTGCAATGCAACAATCTCCACTGCCTGTAGCATCAAGGAATGGGGTCATGACAATACCAACTATATATCACCCAAAATTCTGATTCAAATATAAAAGAATGGCATCAAAAGCAGCAAACTCAAGCTCTTCGTTTTTTTAGGAAAAAAAAACTATTTGTGGAGATGCATTCAATTTTATAAATTGTGCTGATTATATCCTAGCCGTAATAATGGCCATAGAAAAGTGCAACAAGCTTCTAAAAAGGTTGCACAAAGCCAACTTCCAACAAAAATCAATTACAATAGTAGACGCCAACTTTCAACAACAGTTAAGAGTAAGTAATGAATCAAAAAATCTCTTTCAACTTTTTTTTTTTGGCAAAGAACAGAGGATGCTAGTTCTGCATTCACCTTAACAAGAAAAAAGAGTGATATTAAATGTTTCACTCATTGCAGGCACACCAAAACTCAATGATAACTAATGGTCAGTACTTAGTATTTCCTCTGCTTCCGAGCAAACATAAAAAATGAAGCAGCGCACGGTATCGGGTCCCAAGGAATAATCTAAATTCAGATATTAATAACAAAACCAGAGAACATGGCAAGAAACTAACGGAGTATGAGGTAAAGAAAAGATGATTTAAGTTGAGACAACCTTGCAGACATCTAGACCAAACTTCAAGATTAAAAGACTCCATATTTCTTAGCCCAATCAAGGCACTTGAAGAAAGTTTATGCAGAAACAAGATGACCACATGACAAAAACGGCTTTCAGGTAGGTTGTAAAACTAAAGCAATTCTCTCTCCTTTTCTCAGACCAGGACAACTCTTTTAGAGGATGGGATCCTATGCACGAGAAAGGGGAAGCAATGTGAGAATTGAGGCTAGAAATTCCTATGATGAAACCAAGTAGGCTAAGGAAGGCAGACTTAAAGGAGTAAAGCAGTTGACATTATCAAGCCTGCAGTCCTAAATCTGAGGGCACTTGTCAACTCCTAGGGAAAGAAAGAAGACATCTAAACTCATGCCCTGCAGTTAATATCAGGGTTACTTCTTATTCTTTATCAAAATCTCCGAAGATGTTGATTAAAAATATGAAAACTAAAAACAGTGAAGCAAGGGACAGACTAACAGAAGCTGATATGGCTGTACTAACATAGCACCAAATTTTGCACTACATGGTGTCTGCATTTCAACCAACTCCTTTCACCAGCTAATTATTCTAGTTATGTTAATAAACTAATTATGTGGATTCACATATGACTCTTGAATAAACTAATCTTTAGCAAAAGATAAATATCCTTCCAAAGCTAACACCTTTCGGGGAAACTAACAAATATGTAATGGCACATAAATTACGAATAACAGAACAAATGTAGCCAACAGTTACAAGTCATGAGGAGCTTCAGAAGATATGGACCAAAAATCAAATTCCTTATATTTAGGAGTTGCTTCAATCTATGGATTACCTTATAAACGATGTACTCTACCTATGAAAAATCCTAACATAAAAAAATCAAGCGCCTACACAATTTCATGAAGGACGGCACACACATACTTAAAGTAGCTACGAGTAAGAAAGCTAGTCACCTGGACTCTGGGACCGCCTTTTATCCTTCTTCACCTTTTCATGAATTCCATCAAGCATGGAAATGAAAAATTCATGGGCATCCTGCTGCTCATAACTAGCCAAATTTGCCGCATGTTGCCACCAACTACACAAACCTTATTTTACATTAATCCCACTTCTTTTACCTCAAAACAAATACTAAGACTCAATCGATAATAAAAAAGAAACTTTTTTATTATTCCTTATATTCACTCCCAGATTTTTATTTTTTTAAAAAAAAACATTATGTTGACAAAAACTAACCTGTACAAGAACTTAGCTGGACTATATGGAGTCCGATCCCCCGAGAAAACAGCCGAGAACATGGCGTCCATGTCACAAGCCAAACATAATCTTGAATTTTTAGTGCCGTTGATAGCACTATTTTTTTGCTGACAATAATATCTATTGTGCCGATCGCTTAAGAAATAGTTACGCAACGGCGGCGTATGGAGCAATGCTTGTAAAATTGAATTCATAAAGCAAGTATTCCCTAAATTATTTAATCCACGTAATCCCCAAGGTACTTGTGTTGACGAAACCACTGACGCATTGGTGGAGTCGTGGAGAGGGATCGATTGGTTTCCAATGGAGATGTCTTCTCCTGAATCTGGCTTCCACGGGCGGTAATCTACTCGATGGCGCTTTCGTAGATTCTCCGGTTGAGATCCCGCAACGTTGCATTGCATTGTTGTAGATCCGGAAGTGGAGGTGGTTGCGGTGGCGTTCTGAGCAAGGACGACGGCAGCGTCGAAGTCGCGATCGTAGACCTGGTCACGGCACGCGCAGCAGAACAGCTCAGCTCGATCGACGTCCACGGCGATCTCGTGACCGGGAAATGAAAGCGCGTGATCCGACGCGTGGGAGTGAATAGGAGGCGCGTGACAGAACACCGCGGCGCAGTAGACGCACGCGTACAGTCTCGGACGGGAAGATACCTCGCAAGTGTCGCACCGTGGCACCTCAGAGGGTTCCCTCCTTATGGAGGCGCGACCACCGGGCGGCTTGACGCGGATACAGTCCTGTAGGGCGCGAAACGGCTTGTAGCCGTTGCGAGAACGGAAGTCGAGGAGATGAGGACACGGCTGAGGCGAGACGTGGCCGTTGATCTTGGAAGACATGGTGGTGGTGGCGGGAGGTGATGGTCGCGTTGGAAATGAAAACCCTAGATATGAAGGATATGAGGGTTATGGATCTGGATCAGTGAAGCGGAAGATCAACGGCTTAGATTGTTCGAATGAGATTGAAGGAGCATTGAGTTTGATAGAAAATGTTGGGGCGTGTATCAGATCAGGTTCATGCTCGTGCTTGGAATTCCTAAAATAAAAATATATGTTTTATAATTTCTGTTTATTTTATGCATTAATCCAAAAATAAAGAAGATATAATAGAAAAGGTGTTGAATACTTGCTGAAGAAGGAAACATTTCATTTTGGGTTTTTTTCTAGTGATAAAATAACATTAAATTTTTATGAACCAAAAATCGTTTAATTTAATTAAAAAGAATATTATTTAATAAAAGTATATTGATTTGTAAGCAGTTTAATATTTTTTTAAATAAGATCTTGAGTTTGAGTCATTGAGTATGCAGAAAATTTCTATCAGGAAACTCACCTACTAAAGTCAAATATTTGACACAAGTTGATCTGGATTAGTCAAGACGAAACTTTAAAATCGGGAAGATAATAAAAGAAATTAAAATAAAGAAAAAACAAAATGAGATTTGAGGAGTGAAGGATCATATGCTTAAAGTCATAACTTGAAAATCACCGCTAATCATTCAATACGTATTAAAGATGTGAATATTTAATATTTTTTTTGTTTTATTAATAAAATATTTTCTATATGATATTTTTATTTAATATTTTAATATTTTTTACGTAAAATATTAATAATATTTTATTAATAAAACCGTCTTTCTTCTTTTCAATGGAAAATAGGTTTTATGGGCATAATATAAGATGATGACATTATATGAGAACAAGGAGAGCTAACAAGGTCTTTTTCAAAAATATTTTAAATATAATTTTTTCATGGATCACCATGATAGTATCAATCAAATTTTGTAATTTTATCAAGTTATTTGAAATCAAGTTTATTTTTCGTTTGACCGATTTAAAATTAATAAACATATTTTTTTGTCGAGAAAGTCGATAACACAAACTAAAAAAATGAAACTTGATCAAACTTAAGGAATGATTATCATTTGAGTAACATTTGTATTATCAAATTAAATCAGATTTCGTTTATGACAAGACAAAATTAAATGTTATCAAATGACATACTAAATAAAACGAGATATGATCTTTTTGAGGAATTTAATGCATTTAATAATGAGGGAATGATCGGTGACAATATATTATAGGCTTATTTGATTAAGAAGAGATATTGATAGCCCTGTCTTTTTTTTTTTTTTTTTTTTTGTTACACGGGAAAAGGGTAAAACTAACTTACAGAGAAAATTCTAGGGAAGGAAACTCCCCTAAGGTCAGCATCCAAAAAGAAGGATATCTCAGCCGGTGGGAAGTCGAAAATAACATGTTCTTCATCCAAGGAACAACCCATTTTCGACAGAATATCCACCCAAAAACTACCTTCCCGGTAGACATGTTGTAAGGAGAGAGTCCAATTTCGCGCTTTGAAACTTCGAACGTCTTCTATAATCGCTCCCAAAGGATGTAAAGCGATATCTGCATATTCAATGAGTTGTAGAACTACCCGAGCATCCACCTCACATTCAACAACTCTATAACCATAATCCCAGGCAATCGATAGTCCGATCCTAATCGCATGAAGCTCAGCGACCACTTGATTGCAGTGAAATGCTTACGTGTGAAAATATTTATATGATATTGAGGGAACACGACATCTCTCCTCGACATTCATTTTAGAATATTAGAGGGAATTATACCTGTTTTTTGGCATCAAGGAAGGTTGTACCTTTTCCTCGAAACCCTTTTCAGGGCATCGATAAAGGTTGTATCTATTCCTTAACATCAAGGAGGATCGTGCCTCTTCCTTGGAATGTCATGAATTATGGTCAAATATGGTGAGGGATTAAAATAGAAGAACCATCAATCAGTGCTGGACAAGAAAAGAAATTAGTTGCTAATGTGTAGTTATTGAACTTCTAATCCTTATCCTCTTGTCACATGGCCACCAATAATTTGGGCAGGCATGCGAGGAGCCCCAATTCTCTTTTTAATAAAATCATATGGTCCCTTTCTTGTATCATTGTGGTGGGAAACCATTCATGCGTCAACAAGGTCTGGTGGCCAACCCACCAACCCAAAGCTCAATAATTTGGTTGTGTTGTAACTCAGCCACCTCTGACCTCAACCAGTCTCATCATCAAAACCAAACATCACAACACCAGACACATGTATATATATATTGTTGATGGGAAGATTGTAGTTATGACAACTAATGGGGTTGATTATGTAGATATAGGCGGGAAGATGAACAAGCTAAAGAGATGAACAATAACCTTAGAATCTTTTTAGTTTTACCTGACAATTTATGTGTGTCCTTAGTACTAATGTCAGACCCCATGAAAATGAAGACTATGTATAGGTTGATAGAGTAAGTAGATTTAATCGTCATATAATAAATTTAATCGATGACAAGATTTGATAAAGGTCACATCAAGTGATTGTAACAATAGGAGGATATAGAACTCGAAAGACCTCTATATGAAGAGGATTGCCACTAAAAGTACTCAAACTGGCAAGTTTAGGCAAATACCAACCACTTTGTATTAGGAGTGAGTGTTCGATTGAGTCGAGTAAAAAAATTTCGAGTTATACGAGTTGACAAGTTTTATTTTATAACTCGGAGTTAACTTGAAATTTTTTTGAGTCGAGTCAGATTTTTGAATTTCTATTTAAATTTAATAGTAAATACTTACAATATTATGACATCATTTTGAGTCAAGAGACTTAACTCAAACTTCGACTCAAACTTGAAAATCAATATACTAATTACTAAAAATTTTGAGTTATTCGAGTTATATTTTACAACTCGATTTGAACTTAATTTTTTTTTATTCGAGTCGAGTTTATAAAATTACAACTCGAAGTCAATTCGAGCCGAATTTTTTCAAGTCGAGTCGAATAAAAAAAATCAGCTTTTCAAGTCGAGTTTTGCTCACCCTATCTTTGTACGGACACATTTCAGTATCACCTTGACCAGACGGTTAAGGATCAAAACCTGTTAAAGAATCTTTTCTACAGTAAACCCACATGTATTTAGGATTTAATTATTTTAGCAAAATTTGGTAGATTTCATTGATTCTTCCTCTTATATTTTCCACTGTTGAAATCCACTTTTGTCCCCCATATTGCAAGAACATATTTGACAAAGTTTTTGACATAGACCTGCAAGAAGCTTACCAGTTACAATCCATGCTACTTGTGAAGAAAAACTAACTAAAACATCTATCATCACTGGCAAGGAAAATTCTTACAGCTAAAGGCAGATCCAAAACCAATTTAACAGAACAAGGCAGAATAAAAAAATTAAAATGATCCTTTACTTCTGTTCCCTTGTCTCATGAAGCAATCAAGATAACAGGCATACTGATTTCCATTAATACAATGTGATCAAACGTCAAGTTAATTTTGCTACAGACATTTCAAAGCATATCATCTTATTTGGATATACAACATTTGTATTTTTCATGGAACAATTATATTCATGAATTTTCTTTTCGCGAAAGCTAACCACCATTTATTTGGAGTTCCATTGGGCCTATAGGCGACACTCAACAGTCTCCCGCTTGTTTCTTCTCTTATTTGCTTCAGATAATTCCTAAGCAGTTCTGCATTTAAGAAATCAACGAATTATATGGTAGCAAATTATTGACACCTCGGTACTCGAAGAGGTGAATAACATCACAAAGGATCAAGAGTTTGACGTAGCAGACAGAAATGAGAATTTCTACAAAGTATCCCAAGCACTGCATACATCCTACAACACTAATCGTTAATTCAAAGCACTATTGGAAAGTCAACAGATTTTACAATTTCATGTTCACCAAAATTGAGCCTTTTTAAACAGTTTGATTTGATTCCATCATCAGGAGACTCCCAAAAAACAACTTGATCCCCCGCGTTAAGATAAGCGTAAAATCAAGAATTTGCATAACATATTATTCAAAACTATAACCCCAAAGTAGAAAATACATTTTATTTGCATAATTCTCGATCTTCCGTGCAAAAACAATTTTAACTACTGTTGTCTCAAGACAACAAATAGATCAAGTCCAGTGAGGCAGCTAGCTGTAACAGACTAAAAGAATTCACTACGACTCACTATGATACTTGGAACATGTTCACAAGTACCCAACACTTCAATAATCTATCTAACTTATATCATGTATAAAAATGTAAAAGAAGATAGTGAGAGATTAACCTGCTTCCTTTTGAGACTGTGGAAGCACAAAGAGCCCTGGAAAAGGAAAACCCGATTCTCCAGGTACAGGAACGTCTTCCAAGCCCAAGTTAATGATTGCCTTGGTACCTTCAGCCAAGGTCCTACAGCCCTCAAGCCTCTTCAAAGCCACATTATGTAGAAAGTCAGATATATAAGGAGCTTATCCGCGGGGCTCTTGATATCAAAATTTCTAAAGAACACATTAGCACGAAAGAATGTGATCGCTTCATCGACAATATCGGTTTTACCTACAAAAAAAATCTTGAATTACCAACTCAAAAGATAAGAAAGGATATAATATTGAGAAACACCAATGACGGTGATAAATCCAACCTTGATCTGAAACAGGTGCAGGACCCCTTATATGACTTTTCAAAGGGAGTAAAGGGAAGCCACAAGCTTTAGTAATTCCTTCCTCATCAACAAAACTAGAGTGATAAACCTGTCATTAAATAACCATTTCAAAGCGATTATGAGCCGAATGATCATAATTAAACTATTACGAATTACATGCATAATCTAGCAGATGAAGAAGACATAAGAACAGAGATTGCTTCAAATACCATTTTCTTAGATTTCCTTTTCCAAACAAACAAACGAGGCAATGGGATTTCCACTCAAAAGAACGAGGGCAAACGAATGTTTCTGCAAAGAACAACAGCACAACACCAAATTACAATAAGAAGTTATGATTTTTTCCACATAAGTAAGGATTTTCCTTATCCACAATATATAATAATAAAAAATAAACATATGAAATACTGAATTAGTTTTTTTACATGGAAGTAAGCAAGACCCGAGATCTTAAAAACTAGCATAAGCTTATCAAATTAAAGAAACCATGAATTGAAAAATCAAGACAAACCCGTTATAATAATGAGTTCAGTACAT